ATCACAAATGACTTAAACCCAAGACAGCAGTTTCAGTAATTGGTCTGAACAGAACACCACCTGTGGCCTGTATAGTCTTTGGTCTCCCTCCTGCATCCCCCTCACTTTTCAGGGCTCTCATTTGGAATTGATCTCTGAACTATTCCTTAGCCTGCTGCAAAGCCTAGGAGTTGGAGGAGATGGGGAGCACAGGCAGCAGTCATCTTTTTTTCCCTCTCCCCAGTCACTCCTCATGCCTCCTCTCTCTGCATTACTTCTAAAACTCCAACTGGGCTTTTACCCAGCCCATACTCTCCCTGCATGCCAGCCCCACTGCTCTCCCCCACTCTATACTTCTTCCTCATTTATAAGCATTTCCATCGGAAAGGGGGAGGTTTTTTCCTTAAAAAAAAAAAAAAGTCTCTTGAGTTGGGAACGTTGCCGATTGTAACTATAGTGATGCATCAATCACGTCGCAATAATTGCACAGCACAGGGTTTCCTGTTAGAGCTGAGCTACCTGCCAGAAAATGGCAGCAATCAGGCTATTGGCAGCAGACAATCAGGCATCATTTGTAATTCTTTATGGCTGCATGTTTCCCAGTCCAAGAATTGGATGCTAATCAATCAGTTGTCATAGCAACCCAGCATCACACAGCTATCAATACAGGAAAAAAGATGGCAGAAATTAAGAGGGGGGTGAGCACCATAATTCCTAGAAGGGAGTGCCAAGTGACCTTACCAGGTGCCAACCCATGAAAAGCAGTACAAAGAAAAAGCAGGAGACCCTAAGGGTAAAACATCATAGCCAGTCCAGGGAAGAACTGTTGTCTGGGCCACAAGTGTAGAAGCAGGTACGTGATTTGTGGGGGGGTCACCTCATTTTCCTTGGATAGCTGAACATCCAGGGCCAGGCAATATAGAAGCAGTTTGATAAAAAAAAAAAAAAAAATACAAGCATTAGTTATAGAGGAGAAGAGAGATTAGTTATCCAATCAGCCAGCAAATGTTTATGGAGTATACATTACACATGGGGCCCTTCACATGGCAAATACTTACTCTCTGGTCTGGGCCATGCAGCATAGATAGCAAAAGCCAACCAGTGCTCACAGGAGCATTTGAGGTGCCAGAAAAGTGGTACAATCTTTGAGTAATACTAGCAGCGATCAAAATGGAAATGACCAGTGTGACCAGCATGGTGAAGGGAATGGATCAAAACTATAGGCCAGGATTGGACCAAAAATGATCACTTATCTTATATTACCAACAACATGAGAGGTAGGTTTCACTATTTCTATCTTATAGCTGAGGATACCTTGTAATGCTGAGTAAGCTGTCTGACATCACACAGCTGGAAGAGGTGGGACAAGACTGACCTAACGTTCAGGCCTAGCCTTCACCCAAAATCATATCGACAGTGGCCACACTGCAACTGGGAGTCTGAGAAGGCCAGATTCATTCAGACTTGCAGAAGCGCTAAAGGCCACAGTCCAAAGATTAGATTTAGTACAAGACAGACTCTTTGCTAGCAATTCAGAGACATCCCCCAGAAACATCAGTTCATCTCAGTATGACCCTAAAGTAGTCATTTTATCTCTTGTGTCTTTGACTTCCTTTTCTGTAAAATGAGAATAAGAACTATGATTAATGGTGATATTCCTGGCCTGAGCAGCTTCTTCATCTCTTTTATCCTTCTTCAACTCTAGGGTATGAGGGATACCCTAGATCTAGTGGCACAGATAAGCAGTCTCCTTGAAAGAGGTTAAGATGTTGTTCTAAAAATCTTTCTAAGCTTTCCACAGTGCCACCAGAGCAAGCTGAGAATTTGTTGGTTTCTACCTCCATAGTCTCTGGCCTTGCATTAATTTTAGGGTTTCCAGAGAAATAGAACCAACAGGAATATATATAAAGAGATTGATTATAAAGAGTTAGCTCACATACTTATGGAGGCTGAGAAGTCCCCTGAACCGCTGTCTGTAAGTTGGAGACCGAGGAAAGCCAATGGTGTGATTCAGTCTGAGTCAAAAGGCCTGAGAACAGAGTAAGGTCAATGTTACAGCTCAAGCAATCAAGCAGGAAAGCAGAATTTCTCCTCCTTCTACTTTTCATTCTGAACTCAGGTCCTCAACAAATTGGGTGATGCCCACCCACACTGGACAATCTACTTTACTGAATTCACCCATTCAAATGCTAATTCCATTTGGAAACACCCTCAAAGACACCAAAAAATAACACTCAGCCAAATATTCCAGCACCTTTTGATTCAGTCACATAAAGTTAGCCATCACAGGCCTCTTCTACCTCCACTATCTTAATCTTTTGGGAGGCTTGGAAAGAGAAAATCAAATGGTCCCATACAACACGAGTCACTCACAGGCCCTAGTGCCAAGCCCCCCTCATCTCCATCAGGGCAATGTCAGAGAAATAATGTTGTGACGGGATTTCAGCTCATCAAGCAATTCCTGGCATTTTTCTGTGGTATTACAAAAATGACACTTAAAACACTGTGAGCACGAATCTAGTTACCAACTAATTATTTTACCAAACTGTTCTTATTAAAGTAATCGCATACTTCAAACTCATTTCTTTAAGTCAGATGATATCCAGGATTATCTTATGATGCACAACTTTTTTGCTCAACTCTTTGACTTTGGTGATAATGTTTCACTGCCTGAGAAGGGGCTTCTATTAAGTAGCGTGGCAGAAATGCATAGATCTTGGATTCTATTCCTGTTCCTTCTACTAATCATTGGTTCTATAACCTCGTGCAAGTGATTCCCTGATTCTGAGCCTCAGATCCCTCATCTATAGAGTGAAGGAGCAGCATTTCCAAGACAGCTTCCTCAGAATATTGCTAGATATTTATATAACATTAGTATATACTTATATACAGATATAAATAGATGATTTGAAGAGAATGTTTTCAGGAGTGAAAAGGCCAAAAACAAGTTTGGGAAACTGGATGAAGCTATGTTTTTCAGGTTTTCTTTCTGAGTGAATTCCTGGAGCTTGTTATAGGCCATTGGAAGAGCAGATCCCAAATGTAGTGCTTTCCACACTTGTTTGATCTGTAAACCATTGTCATTTTTGTCTTTATCACTGAACATCTCTAAAAGCTTGCATTCCAAGGATCAAACTTTAGAAAACACCGAATTAAAGGCTGTTTGAGAGGCACTGTTTGCTGCGGCAACAAGGTGGAAATAGGCTGGGTGGCCAACGCTAACCTTCACTTCCTCAGGAGATGCTAGGCAGCCCTATAAAGAACAGAGCAGATCCATGCATATTGGCATGAAAAACTTCCAATATGTCTCACTAAATGCAAAGAGCGAGACGCAAACTTTATAAGATGTTCCCATTTGTGTGTGTGTGCTTGAGTGCAGGTAGAGGTGAGTGGATACAAGGGTACATATGAATGCATAATTATGTGTAGCAAGTTTCTCAGTGCATATATAAGAAACCACAGAGGATTCCTTGCAGAGTGGTACTGAGGGTGGAGATAAAGGGCATTTTTACTTTTCATTTTATATCATTAAGTATTGTTGAACTTTATTGTTACCAACTCATGTTATTATTTTTATAATTTAAAAAAATTATTTTTTTTGTTTGTTTTTGTTTTTGTTTTTTCGTAGTAAATTTTTTATTAGTTTATTGTCAAGTTGGTTTCCATATAACACCCAGTGCTCATCCCCACAAGTGCCCTCCTCCATGCCCATCACTCCCCTTCCCCTCCCCCCACCCCCATCTGCCCTCAGTTTGTTCTCAGCATTCAAGAGTCTCTCATGGTTTGCTTCCCCTCCTCCCCCCCAGTATTTTTCACCTTCTTATACCCCATGGTCCTCCATTAAGTTCCTGCTAATCCTCCTATACGTGCAAACATATGGTATCTGTCCTTCTCTGCCTGACTTATTTCACTCAGCGTAACACCCTCAAGTTCCATCCATGTTGCTACACATGGCCAGATTTCATTCTTTCTCATTTCCATGTAGTATTCCATTGTATAGATAAACCACATCTTCTTTTTTTTTTTTTAATTTTTTTAATGTTTTATTTATTTCTAGGAGAGAGAGAGAGAGAGAGAGACAGCGTGAGCAGGAGAGGGTCAGAGAGAGAAGGAGACACAGACTCCGAAACAGGCTCCAGGCTCTGAGCTGACAGCACAGAGCCCGACGCGGGGCTCGAACCCACGAACCGCGAGATCATGACCTAAGCGAAAGTCGGACGCTTAACCGACTAAGCCACCCAGGCGCCCCTATAAACCACATCTTCTTGATCCACTCGTCAGTTGATGGACACTTAGGCTCTTTCCATGAAAAACCACAAATTTAAAAGCTCTCTGGAAACGCTTTTAAGTCAACTTTCTTAATTTTGTGGTTTCTTGAGCCCCAAATTGAGGCTAATTTAAGCCTGTCTTCTTGATGAGAAATGGTCCACCTGGATGCCAGTTCTTCTGTATTTTTCCACCTTGAGATTGCAGGCACAGTTGGGTGACTGAGCACCCTGAGGAGTAACTGACCCCTCTCTCTGGGGACTTACACTATGAATTGCATTTGGGTTTCCAAATGCTGGCCAAAGAACCCAGCCATAGGAGCAAGAATGGAATGTGTCATTCCACTGTAGGCAAACATTAACAGGCAAATCATGACTAAGTACAGAATTCCAGAATCTAAAACATCTAAGCTAGATCTTTCTACAGAGGAGAAATCTGACACCCAAGGGAGAAAAATTGAAGACCATACTACAGATTTCAGATCTGGGACTCCTGATTCTAAGTCCAGGAGAATTTACACCATATGATGTCTTTCACACCTCACCCAAAGCCCTGAGCCATCCACAAGGAAACAGGAGAGTATTCCTGGCTTGAGGTCTTTAAAACTGACCAAAGCTAGACATACTGGACTGAAGAAACAAAGTCCAGCCAGAAAAGGCAGAACCAAAAATGAGGAGAAGGCAGATCTGTGTGGCTAATTCAGCTAATCTTGAACGTGAGGAAAATTTGGGAGAGAAGGCACCAAGATAAACTATGTGCTGGCTTCAGCAGCACATATACTAAAATTGGAACGATATAGAGATTAGCACAGCCCCTACATAAGGATGATACACAAATTCATGAAGTAACCCATATTTTAAAAAAAGAAAGAAAGATAGAAAAAAGAAACAGATGCAGACATAAATCAAAAGACCAAGACAAATTTGTGCTGTTAAGGAAACTGGTGAGAATAATTTCACCAGTTGCCTTTTGCATCTACTCTACATAACTGGGAGGAATTAACTTCTCAACTAGTTATACACATTGTAAACTTGTTGGTAACTGTGAAGCATAAGGATAGCATAGGTGGAGAATGAGCTTTTCTGTCTACTTGAATTGTCCAAAAGACAGAAGGTCTTTTTTCAATGCTGGTACTTCTGTGTATTTTTACAATGTTTACGGAAATCTTTATAAAAAGCACTATATGTCCCTCAGCCTTGTTAAACAGAATCTGCTGCACACCATTTAGCCTTTTCCTCAAGTTTTTGTTTATTTGTTTGTTTTTACATCTGAAAAAGAAATCCTTTTTCTGGGTTTTCGTACAGAGAGACCCTTGGAACTATGGAGATATATTGGTTCTACCCGCTTGTTTTCTGTTCATTGCGTTTATATTCTGTATCGGTTTTACAAAGCACTGTTAGATCTGAAGGGATACGTTCCCTCCTAGGGACAGTGAAGAAGATGTGGGAAGCAGCGGTGGCACAAGAACAAAGGATATATGAATAGGTAGTGTTCTCTCTTTTGACTCTCTAGTTCTGACTTATTCCATTTCTTTTTTTTTTCTCTTTTACACCAGTTTGTTATTTCTGTATAAAGCAAATAATAGAATAGAGAAGTAAAACAGAAAATAGTACCCTGATACCGGTTCTGCATCTGACAGGGATCTGAGGGTATTTGGGGTTGTTATTGTTGCCATTTATAGATGAGAAAACTGAGGTCCCTGAGAGGTTTAACAAACTTGCCCGATGCTGCACAGGGAGTTAGTGGTAGAACCTGAGTGTGAACCTGGGTGTTTTGGTTCCTAGGCCACCACACCCTCCACCTGGCAATGTAAGCCCCTGGCAAAATGTAGCCTACCCTGAGTGCCAACCTCAGTATGTTCTTCACTGAGAGTCAGTCGACCCATATGTCTGTCTTTTTTCCCCGCTCTCATTATACTTTGTCCTAGCAACCTCTGCTCCCTTCTAATTTGCCATTTTTACTGTATCATGGGCTGGAAAGTCAAACCTCAACTCCATACAAAGCATAGTATAGCAAAGGAGCAATAAATGTCTCTCTGTATGCAGTATTGAGGCATTTCCTCTGATAAAGGCATGAGCCTTAGTCCATGGTCAGTGGAGAAGCCCCTTCCCTTCCTTCCTCATTCCTACCCATTTCCAGGTAGTTGATACTAACTCTATGATGTACCTAGAGTCTGTTCGTCTGTAACCAGAGTACTCAGAAGCAAACCTAGATGAGAGTATATAGCTTTTGTGATGATCTTAACCAATATAGGAGAGAGTTAAGAAAGGTAGAAAGGAAGAAAGGAGGCAAGGTGAGATATAGGAAAACGTTGTTACCAAGATTAAGTCATAAGAGCAGAGGTGACATTAGTGAGAAACCTAGGCAGGTGGCATGGGCAAATAGCATGGGGTAGTGGGGGAAACTCTGGTGTTCGCTCCCTATATCCTTTATCAGACCGCTAGGCTACACCTAACCAGCAGATAATCCAAGTACAAATAATGTGCTGTTGTAAAATATGGTTTCCAGGGAAGGCCTTTAGCTCTCTTTTCAAAATATTGTCACCTCTAAACCCCTCCTGCATACAAATTCTGGAATCTCCAGCATTCATGAAATATGCTGGTCAGTCCTGTCTTCCCAGCCACTCTCAGTTGGAGTCCTCTCCAAGGACAAGTCAAGACAGGATGAGTAAAGGCTGCCCAGAGGTTTCCCAATGCTGGAGGGAGCTCACTTCTTGCCTCCACCCCACCCGTGCACCAGCCTGCTAAGCCCAGTCCTCCAGCAAATAAACACCAGAACCTATGGAAGCCAATCAATCCTCCTCTGTTATCTGAATCACAGACATTTTTCTGACATCAGCGCACACACACACACACACACACACACACACACTCTCACACTTTAGCCTAAGGCCCATGGGAAAGAAGGGCATCTGTGCAGTCCAAGGAGCCAATTTCTCCATGTGGCAGTGGTATTCACAAGGGGCGGGACTAATAGGAGATGCCTGTGTGCTATGCAATTAAAAAGATAAAATGACCTGTAAGGTTGGTAGTAACCATCCTTGTGAAGAGAGATGAGTAACACTGAAGACATCACATTAGAAAAAAGGAATGATTGCTCAAATCTTCTTACATTTACTGTCCCCACTGGTTGCAGGAACCTCAGACACACTGAGCTCAGCTGAGGTTGGTCAGAAAAAGAATGGAGCCAGGAAGATGGGTTTATTTCAGCTCAGGCAGGCATCCAGTCCAGTATTGGGCAGTGTGTCGTGGTGGTTCCCAAGCCACTGTGCTTCAGAACTACCCAGGGGGCTTTCATACAAAGACACATCCTAGGGCTCCAGTCATACTTGCAGAATCAGAATCAGATGTCTGTGAATTTTTTAAGCTCCCCAGGTAATTCCGTTGCAGCTTGTCCACGGACTGGCATTTGGAAACCATGGCAGTGAGGGATATAATAGAAGTATAAGATACAGTTTGTCCTTATGGAACTCATATAAGCAAAGAGATTAGATTCATTCATAGGAAAGAGATATAATTATTCCCTCATCAATGTTCAAGTAGCGCTTTTGTACATATCTCTATAGTGCTTTTGTTTCCTTAGGTTGGAAGTGTTCGTTAGTCTCTCTCCTTTACAAGCATTCTGTGAACTATATGAAAGCAGGGTTGTGTTTATTCACTGTGGATACATTTATTCACAAAATCATCTAACCACTCACTCATCCCATTACTTCAACAAATATTGAGTCTCCAGGGTGCCAGGTGCTGTTCTAGGTGCTGGCAAGCTAGCAGACTGACAAGTAACTTCCTGGAATTTACATTCTGGAGGGGTGGGTGTGGGGAAGCAATAAAATAAACCATTGAATAAGACAAATGCTACAAAGAAAATAAAAGAAAGCCATGGGAAGGAGATGAACCAGGAGGCCAGGAGGCAACATTTAATAATACAGTCATGGGAGGCTTCTCTAAGTCCATGACATTGGAGCTAAACCCCAAATGATGATGACACTGAGTTAATGGCATGAACATCTGGAAAGAGCACCCAAGGCAGAAACAGAAAGTACTAAGGCTTGCCTGCTGGAATGAACTGGGGTGTTGCAGAAATGTAGAGCAGGCAGGGCAGGCTGATCCCAGTGGCTGGCAGGAGAGAGCAGAATGTGGCTGGAGAAATGGGCAGAGGACAAACAACAAGCAGCCTTATATTACAAGCCATGGGGAGAGGAGGTTTATTTTATTTTCTATTTCTGTTTGATTCTAAGTGCAATAGAGCACCACTGGGTGATTTGTAACCAAGGTGATTAAATAATATAATCTGATTTCCTCCTTTAAAATTCACTCCGTTTTATGGAGAATGGGTTGCATAGAAGCAAGAAGGGAAGTGGGAAACCAGTTTCAGAAGAATAAACAGGAGATGGTGGGTGAGGCAGAAGGAGTGGGGTGCAAAGAAGCAGCTGGCACAGCACACATCTTGGGATGAAGAGAAAGGAATCAGAGATGACTCCTAGATTAATGAATAACCCCAACATCCAGACTATAATAATAAGCATTCAGTGAATGATTACTGAACAATTGGATAAATAAGTATGAAACAACCCAACATCAGTATCTCAAACATAATCTCATGCTAGCATGTCTGGTACAAAGTACTCTCGGCCATCTTGAAAGATGTCAGTGTGTATTCAAATTGTCTAGGTAGTGAGATTTGAAATTTGACTAAAAAATTAGTAGCATTGGGATAGAGAAGCAAACACTGGGAGAGATTCTAGACCAGAACATACAAATAAATCTAATATGTTTTTTTTTGGAAGGGAGGTTCTTCCTTCCTTCCTTCCTTCCTTCCTTCCTTCCTTCCTTCCTTCCTTCCTTCCTTCCTCCCTTCCTTCCTTCCTTCCTCCCTTCCTTCCTTCCTTCCTTCTTTCCTTTCTTCCTTTCTTTCTTTCTTTTTTCTCCAGGACTTCTTAAGGGTTGGAGTTCAGGGGAAGAATAAAGACAACTGTATTGGCAAAACAGAGGATAGAGATACAGTTCATTGAATATAAAAACAGAAGAATGTGAAGCCTCTTGAAAACCAGGCAGTAGTTTGGATTCAAAAAGCAATAGAGATCCATCATGGTTCGTGTCTAGGGAAGCAACTTGCTGGCAGCAGGTGATTTATGTCTTGAATTTAGACAGTCTGGGGCCGGAAGTCAGTGACAAAACACCATGAGGCAGAAGATCAGATAGAATTACAGTAATCTAAACACTGGTTCACCAAACTATCCTCTCTGGAAAAACAAAACAAAAACAAACAAATAAGCAAATGTAATGTTCCAAGCTTGGGCTCCAATTCAGAAGACATACAGATGTTGCAGAGGTTCTTGGAACCTACTGGGGGACAGTGCAGTAGAAGAAGTGGGAGGTGGTCAGTGGAAGAAAGCAAGTCACCCTGAGCCAATAAAGGAGACTCACTAAAGCTTGAAGAAGATACAGGAATTTTTAGCTGCAGGTGGCTGAGTGCCCTGGGCCAATTTGTTTATTTTCCTTCTTCAGATTCCAAATCTGAGTAGAATTCTTGGTCCTTCCCAGCACATTTGCATCTTCCACTTGTGGGCCATGTCTATGGAGAACACCCCTCCTTGGTGACCAGAGATTCGAAAACCAGCCATGACCCAATCCCAGCCTCCTGGCCTTTGCAAAGTATGTGGAAATCACTCAGTAGAGAGTGGAAGAGAAGTGAGATTTTTTCTTTTAACATTCAAGATGCTGCTGGAACATGGCCTTTCCCATGATATATACAACACAAATCTAAGAATTTTTTTCCACAAATCTAAGAATTTGAGGACCTTGCCCCCCATTCCCCTAACAGGTTAGTGAACTACACCTGGTCACTTAGAAGTGGAGA